TTGTCGCGACTATGGCGCACTCTTTCGGCAGCGCGGTATTTGTTCTTGCCGATCGTCAAGACGGAGCGAATATTTTTCTGCCGGTTGTGAACGTAGCCGGCAGTCAGGCAAAAGAAAAGTCGTTAGTATCAAATAATTATACGAATGTAATTACGGAAAAACTTCTCAATAAAAAAATCGAAGTAGTGTACTGTGACTTATGGCAACCAGAGAAACAAAAACCACTCTTAAGAACCGGCCGGCAGCGTACTGAAATTGCATGGGTTTGCGACAATCAAATAATATTTGAAAATGTGTAAAATATTGCTGAGATCTAAATTTAAGGATAACCATGGCGTGCAACGTAAAAAATGAATTGACTATAATTCAAATCATGGAATTTTTTCGGGACTTCCAACATAAGAAAAATTAATAAATAAAATTACGGTCATGAACAAAAGATAGTTAAAAATCAACAATGAATACAAATAAATCTATCGGTCAATGGATGCATACTCTCGCTGTAATAAGGATTAACCTGCAACTGAGTTACAAAAACCGAAAATCAATATGACGTTAGTTAAAATATTGAATTCCAGAGCACATATAACCAAATCTAATATATTATGTGTATATTACTTTTTCTATTGAAAGAATACCAAACAGTAATTTATATATTCCGGTATCAACTTCTCCGGGAAATGCATTCGCAGAAATTTGGCCGGTTTCATGCAACATTTCAATCGAGCCGTTGATATCGTTTCGGGATGTTTAATTATTTCGACCAGAGGCATGCACTGAATCGCAGCGAATCGAGAATGTGCAGACGCCGCTGTTTAAACACCACCCGAATAATTGGTCTATTGCCAGCAAAGCAATGAATGTGTGTTTGCAGCTTTTAGAAGTCCGTTTCTCTAGCTCGAGGGGGCAGCGTAAATTGGGATTCGCGTGGCCCCAAACCGCAAATTCCGAGACAATCACGCGACCCTGCACATTCACCGCCTCTTTAGCAGAATACCATCTTTTCGAATTATTTTCACCAAATTTCTAATATTATTTCGTACATTTGTTTTTCTTTTGGTAATGCATGCTCTTTTTTCCTTTTATCTTTTCGTCATTATTATTATTATTATTATTATTATTATTATTATTATTATTATTATTATTATTTCTATTTCTTTCAAGTCTGTCGCTCAGCGAGGTGTTCTGCAGCAGACACTGGGACCTTTGTAGAACCAAGGTTCCTGGTTTGCTTGCACACTTGGGTGGTCAGGACTCAGTGATCGCAGAGAAGTTATAGCAATAAAAACTTCCTCGCGATGTGTGCAGTACTCAAGATAACAGCCTTTTGCATTGATTGAATGTGTCAGTTATTAAGGTCAAGCCTTGCAGACGTTGAAATTAGTTCTTCAGAAATCAGTCCATTAGCAGAGATGACCACAGGGGCTACTTCAATAGATACTAATCGCCACATGTCGCTCAGTTCAATAGGTAATGCCTTTGGCCCCAAGATATTTTCGCTTCTTGTCGGTAACAGAGAAAACTATATTTCGGTCTAAAGGGATAGCTATGACGACTATAATCCCTTTTCGTGAAGCCTTATCAATCCACATTATGTCGGGTGTGTTGACTTCGACCCTATGATCAGTAGTGACTGCTACATTTCACAAGAGCTTGATCGGTTTCGACTCCAACACGGAATCCGACTAAAACTTGATTATGGAACCTCTTTCTGTACCATCTGAGACTTTGCAGCCAGGGCCTGGTGGACAACTGCAGCAACGTCTTTGTGCCGACTCAGGTATTCTGTTTAAGCCAAATCAGAGCACCTTCCCATTGTTTTGGAGGATTTTGTCGGGTTGATGGCAAAGGCGGCAGTGGTCCTCTAGACTCATATCAATTCCAATCACATAATTTGGTAATTGCGGGTGGATGTTGTTGTATATTTAAGAACAATTAAGAAGACAACAGTTCTTATCCACAATGCAGGTTTATTATTCCAAGCCCAAACGCATGAATCAAGTACAAGCCAGATCGCCGTTTTCCAGAAAAGGTCTCTTTTATAAACACTAAACATCAACCTCCTGGAGAATCACAATTTCCAACATTGCACGTCAAATAGCCTTTGGCACCTCGTCGCACACTCAGGTCATTCGCTGCACTCGGGCCGTCACTCTCTCCGGCCCCACGGGCCGGCCGCTTTATAGCATCCGAGCCTACGGAGCGAGTCTACCTTTTATCCCGCGCCGTTCCGGCTCAATGGGCGGCGCGGCCGCCGCTGCCGCCCTGCTCTCTAGCGGCGCCTCCTAGCACTTTCCATTGCTGGGCCCGACGCCCAGTTTGCCGGTGCCAGTGTGCCACCAGCCTCTCCGGCGCGCTGCTGGGCCGCTGCCGCATCTGTTTATGCCACAACACCCTCCCCTCTTATTGCGCTTGATACGGTCTGTATCTTTTACGTAACCTTTTACTGCGACGCCGCTGCTGGCTGCGCTCTGATGAGTCCACCTTTTCTTCTTGCTGGGGGTCTGGCTGCATTTTCCCTCGTTGTTCCGCCTCAGGAGCCATCGCAACTCCTGCTGTCCGGCGCTGTTCACCCTCTGCCGGTCTTCCTCGACGTCCGTCGTCAGGGGTCCCCCAGTTTGCTGCTGTTCCCCCTCAGCAACTCGGGCTGCTCCTGCCCGACGTCTTCCCGCCCAGCTCCGTGGAGTGAATCGAGTAAAGGAGGCGCTTGCTGCAGGTCTATCGGCTGGGCTGACACCTGTTCTTCTGGCTGCCGCTGCTCTTATCTCCACCAACTACAAGATCCTCTGCATTCCCGAATGAGGAGCTTTAGACGTGCTATCCGCCGTTGGTTCTTCGGCTCTTTACCCCCTCGGGCCATCGAACTCCTCTACTCTCAAATGTCTCCTCCGCACCTGCCCTGGTGCTTTCTGGGCAGTCCCTCCCGGGCCCATACCACATAGCATTTAGCTCCTGGACTCCAGCTACTGTACCTGGGATCCAGCGCGGTGACTCCTTAAAGGGTTTTAACCATCACTGGGACTCCCTTATCCAACCGTGGTCACTCCGACCAATACATCTTTTTTGGAAAAAAATAGCGATAGGAGCGTTCTCGGCTGCCGGCCATGGAGCTTCTGTGACGGACTGACCCCATCTCTTACCGGAAGTGCCCTGTTTGTTTTCAGGAGCTCTAACAATGCTTCCTGTTGGTCCCTGTCTTCGAAACGCGCCTTGCTCATTGCATTCTTAAGTCTGCACGAAGTGTTCCGCCTCCCCATTGGAAAGCTGATGAAAGGGGGAGCCAACATGTGCTCGATTCCATTTTCCTGCCAAAATTTTCTAAATATTTTACCTGTAAATTGGGGGCCTTTGTCAAAGACTACCGTTGCTGGTAATCCCTATATAGAAAGTATTGTCTCAAGAGCCCGAGTTGTGGTGTCCGCCGTACAGTTTGCCAAGCGATTAACATATGGAAAACCTGACGATGCGACCACGAGTACTAGTCACATGCCTCCCTGAAATGGGCCCGCAAAGTCTACATGTACCTTAACTTAACAGATTCCACCAGCGCCTTCTTGTGTTCTCAAAAGCTGTGCTACACGCTGGTCACCATAAGAATTCTGCGCAACGCGTTAAGTGGGGCTGCTACCTCTGCTAAATTCTGGATAAACGTGGCGTAGTAGTTTGCCATGCCTAGAAACGGTTGCAATTGCTTGATGACTTTAGGTGACGGTAACTCACAATGGCTTTCACGTTGGCCTGTGTAGGCCTAATGCCGTCTTTATCAATCCTATGCCCTAGGTAGGTTATGCTGGGCTTGAAAAATTCACACTACTTTACCGTAAGTCCCGCTTCTTGCAACCTTCCCAACAACATCCTCAGATTTTAATGTGTTCTTCATTGGTTCTACCTGCTAACACAATGTCGTCCAGATAATTCATGCTACGCGGCACACCCGCGATCAATTGTTTAGATGTCTCTGGAATATCGGTGCTGCCGAGGCTACTCCGAATGGCAGTCTTTCGTACTGAAATAGCCCCAGTGGCAATTTTACTGTTAAATACTTCCTAGACTCTTCATCCAACGGGATTTGTAGGTATGCATATTTGAAGTCTATTTTCGAAAAATGTCTTCACTCTGCTATCCTCTGGAGAAGGTCCACGGGTCGGGGAATGGGGTACCTCTCTATCTCTAGCTGAGCGTTCACCGTGGACTTGAAATCCCCGCACAACCGAATAGTACATTCTGCTTTCTTTACTACTACTAGTGGCGTAGCCCATGTACTACTCTTTACTGGTGTAATATCTCAAGTTTTTGTAATCTTACCAGCTCTTTAGCTACTTGCTCCCTCAGTGTCAGCGGGGCGGGTATTGCCTTGTAATAGCGGGGAATTGCACCATCTTTTAGTTGAATGTGGGCCTCCAGTCTCTGGCCCTTCCCAATCGGTCATGGAACAGCTTCTTCAAATATTCTTCCAAAACTTCTGTCACTAAACGGCACTTCCCCAGACACCAAATTTATTCGGTCTTCAAATTTGAGCTGAAAAATCCTAAAAGTATCTATTCCCTTCACGTGACGTTACTCGTGACTCCTCTGTTCACTACCGTAATAGTTCCTTCCCGGCACACTTCCTTATACTCTATCACTGCTCGGAAACAACCTCTCACATCAATTGTATTTTTTGCGAAAGGAAGACAAACTTACCTTAGCACTGTAGTGCCCTTAACTCGTAGTATGTTCGTATGTTTATGGTTATGATTAATGTTACTGGTGAGCTCATGTCTACCTGGAATTTGATCTTCCTTCCTGCTATTCCCAGCTCTATAAACACTTTGTTTTCATCCCCTCTGTTAATCACTTCATTCACAATATTTACCTCCATATCTTCTTTTTCCACTACTTTTCCACCCTTTTCCACTTGGTGTCCAAACTCGCTCTTACCTTCTTTTTTTCACAAATCGACTGGATGTGGCCTGTTGCTTCATAAAAGAAACACTTCGTGTTTTTAAATCTACACTTACTTCTGGCGTGCGACATTCCACATCCCCTGCACGATTTGAGGTCCTGTATTTGTGGGTTACTCAACTTCCATTGACATTCTCCCTTACACTCTTTGTTCTTCGACAACAACATAACTTCCATAGGAGCTGCTATTTCTCTTGCCGCTTTACTAGTGATTTCAAACGTTGTAGCTATTTTCTCAACCTGAGCCAGGGAACGCCTCCATGCTCACTTTATCTTCCGGGGTGTGTTGCAGTATGATGTACCTAACTAAGGACTGGGCATACGATGAACCACAAACACATTTGAAATCACAGTCCCTTGACAAACCAATCAACTCCGTTATCAATTGTTGTGCGAGTTACGTGGCTTGATCCTGTTCTTTAAAATATTGTATCTGGGCATTTACTTTGTAGAGACGAAGGAAATACAAAAGCTACAAATCTGGTATAGAGTCGAAGCCCTTGGCATAATCAACCCATGCTACAGAAATGTTCCGGAGTGTTTTTTTACTTGATTGACTACAACATTGTGTACTATCAATAATCCTTCGCAACCCTGAGCACCCTTTCTGCAATCACGTTGGTCTAGTGCCAGAAGATTATTATTAATTTTTTAAATATTATTATTATTATTATTAATATTATTATCTTCTACTCGTTATTTCTTCAGAGCAATTTAAATAGGATAAAACCTACTATTATTTGCTTCTTAGCACTTCGCTCCTGGGCTGTAATAGCGATGCAACTCAAAAACTACGAATTTGGGATTAATGCACTCTCCAGAATTGAAGATTGTTCTATCATCCAGCAACAAAAAAAGCAACATGTGCGAGAAGTGCATGAAAATGCAAATGTCAGAATGTATGACAAATGCATTTCAATACTCGGTGAAAACTGCAAACTCATTTACCTCAACACCTGATTTTTTGAGTTCTGCCATTATTGCAGCCCACGAATGATTTGTCTCTTAATAATGTGGGAATGTTATTAAATGAATTTCTAGCGTTTCCATTTTGATCATAACTTTGTTCAGTAATATGCATTCGTTTTTCCCTATTTTTTAGCATTTCAAATCGGTAACAAATACATATTCAGCTTACATCGATGATGTTCGGATTAATATGTTTGCTGGTATTTGTATAAATCACACAAATAAGTTACAAAAATGGGGAAATTCTTCTGACGGTTTAGCAGTTGACATTTGTTCACAGAGTATCAGACGTATTGCAATAAACCATTTTTTAGGAATCTAACACACACAACACGTGAATTCGGACAATAAATGATTTAAAGGGAGTAATTTACTACATGTACGATCAAACAACCAGTTTTTTGATGTTAGAACGTACAATACACATTTTTCTGCCGGAAAATTGACGTTTTTCGGCCACTTTCTCTATTCTACGTATGATGTAGTATAGATAAAGTAAATAGCATCTAGTATTTTCATCAACGCTACCTTAGTTGGCATGAAAGTGTTTGACGAAAACGGTAATATTAGATTGAACTGACTCCTAAAAATGTGAAATGGGTATGCTGCTACGTAAAAACGCTGTTTTCACAAACAACCGCACGCAGCGTACAGGAATCTGTTCGCTTCAAACAAGAACTTTTTCGCAGCGTGATATAGCTTCAGCGACGCAACGCTTCCCCTCTCCGCACCGCATGCGTGTAGGCTGGCGGGGGCGGGGGCCCGCCCTCACCCAGATGGCTTTGCATGGTCTCGCTGGCGCCGGCCGCCCCGCTGGCGGGGCAGGGCGGGGCGGGGGGTGATGAAAGAGAAACGAAATTAACGCGTTTCATCGACCCGGCCGACGCGGCACGGCGCGGCGTGCAGTAATAACCTCCGACGAGGCGGTCATTGTTCTCGCCAAGCGCGAGGCGCAAGCAGGTCGCGGAGGTGGTTGGAGCTTGGCGTGGGTGGGCGAGGGCGGCAGCGGAAGTACGAGCGGGAAGGGGGTGCGCGTGCCAAACGAGGGGCAAGCAACAAATAAACGGGAAGTGTTGTCAAGATTAACATAACTTAATTGTTTTCCCAGAATAAGATTAACATCATATCTATGTTTTTCTTATCTCAATTTATGATATATAAGTGAATAGATTCGTTCACAAAATGAATAGTACACATATGAATAGTATGGCATACTTAAATAATTGAAATATTATTTTTGCGTTTCTTATATTTAATAATGAAAGGAAAGTTTTGCGTCTCTTTTATATTTTATTCGCTAGACAGAGATTAAATCATGCATGCGTGAGTCAGCGTTCAGGAAAATGATATATATGTTTTCTATTCTAAATTAAACAATAAACGATACAGCATAGCAGGTTGTACACACGCTATAAAATGAATTCGAAAAATGTTAAATATTTACTACAAAGCAAGACATTTAAAACACAAAGCAGAATGAGAGGACAATGGTCGTCAAGGAAGTTTTGCTCTTTGAAATGGAGTTCGGTTGGAGATACCAATCTATCTACTCGTCGGCCGGATATCTATCCGTCGGCCTGAAACCTTTAAACTATAATATTTTAATCTTCTTGAAATTTGCGTCTCGCTCGCTAATCAAGCCTTGAACGGACGAATTGAACGGTCGACTAGATAGAGTTAAGGCGCGTGAATGTGGGGCACTTCTTTTGTGACAATAGAAGATATATAGAGTATTTTGTCCAAGTTTTCTTACACGCAACCACGCGGAAATTTTGTTTCCTCTAACAGCAGGATTTGAAAATTGCTTTAACGAGGCAGTTTCCCCCGTGTGTGGGACGCTTTATTTGCAGTACCAGCCGCGCAGGTGACCAACACAAACGACATGAAAACGAGTTCACAGCGTCAGTAAGGTTTCACTTTATAAAGTTAGCTTTTCTCTCGGCCGCAGAAAGTTTCCCTTTTGCGCTAGTCCTTCTGGAAGAGCATGGGAGCTACAACATTAAATTCTAAATATTATGAGAGAGTTAAATAACCATTGCTTTACATCAAGATCAGAGATAGATAGATAGATATAGATAGAAAGAGAGAGCGAAGGAAAAAGAGAGAGAGAGAGAGAGAGGGGGAGATAGAAAAAGAAAGAAAGAGAAAGAGCTTGTGTGTGTTCGTGACCCAGATATTTTGCCTCTGCATTCACGCAGCAAATACCAACATCCTAATTAGCTTCATACATGTACCAATAAATATCTGTCCTATGTACAACTTGTCCCATGAAAAACATTTGTCGCATACTCTGCTCAGTTGCAAGATTTTTTTTCAACTTCGCAAACCAAAAAGAAGAATGATATTATTGCTCAGTTTGAATAAGTGCGGGTTTCTTGTTCACCTGTTCTGTCTGAACGACTTAACAGATCTATAGACGTGAGGTATTGTTGAATTAGTCTTGGTTGTCCTGTTGACACTGGACACAGTCAGTTATAAACTATTATTAAAATTTCTTTCACATAATCACATAAGCGCAAATGAAGATTTGCTTCTGCATCTTACAGCAAATACAGACATTGTATTCAGCGTCAACCATGCATCAATAGATATCTCATCTGAATAAGCCTTAAAGCTGTACAAAACTACTTATTAATTTTTCTCTGGATGCCGACTTGTTTAGCAATAATTCACGAAATAGAGAAATATCGCTGATGTATTGGGACTAGATACATGCGTGAGAGTAGTGTAAAATATTATTTATTTTGCAATCTAATAGTAAATTAATATGTGAATCAATTTACAGAAAACCGTGATCAAAGAAAAAAGAGAATAAAATTTTACCAAACAACGTACTTATTCTTCTACACGGAAGTAAGAATCTAGATCTGGACGGAACTAGTACAATTATGGAGTGGGCGAGTGATTGTGTGTGTGGTAATTAATTGACTTCGGGTGCATCAATTACTTTGGTCAATAGTTTCGTAAGTGGAGTGCATGTTGTATTGTCATAGGCCTCTGAACCGATACAGCGCGACGTGCGTAATTCCGTACGACGTGCGTAATTTTCGAAGGATGGAAACACGGAATGGCCTTGCCATTCTTACAGCATGTAAAACATCCCTGAATAAAGGCTCTGCAACGTTGAATTCCACAATTTCCATCCTAATCAGATCCCATACCGGCACAGCTAGACAGCCCATCAAGTAATGGGTGAATGTCACTCTCTCCCTTTGTAGATAAATGGCAGTGCTTTCAGGCGGTGCGGGTCAAAATGTATTGGCAACGCTGAGAGTCAAAGGTGCCACCTAGGAAAGTCCCAGCTAATTTTCCTATCAGGGGGAGGCACCAATAGATAATCACTATCAGGCACCACTCACATCAAGAGACGATAGATTGGAAATAGGAGAATAACCGAAAGTAAGCGACTTTAATAAAATATTGATGAAATTAAGAATAAGTGTTTATATGTGCAAATAAAAACGATTCTTTAATTCTTTCATCTGGCGGGCGGAAGCGGCCTTCACGTATCGATCACGCATAGAATGTTTTTCGTACGATGCCCATGTTTTGTGTACGGTGCCTATATCTCAATTTAAATGAACCTCTCCGTACCCGTTTTTTTATTGCCTCCAAATTTAATTATCTTTTTCATTATTCCAACGTCTGGAGTGTAATGTATTTTAATGTATTAAAAACGGCTTTTGTTGCGTTATTACTTTTATTATATTTTGTCAAAGTCAAAAAGCAATTTCACAACTCGTAACATACAAAACTCTCTAAAATAACTTGAAAAGGGAAAAGTAAGATGACTCCTAGAAATATATTTTTATACAATTTATGTCAGTTTTAAAGAAACAGTAATTGGACAGTTATTGATGTGCCATCCACTCTTCCGCGAACATGTCGGGTTGTTTGTTCTGTGGATTTCTAGTATGTTTACTTAACGATAATTTTATAACAAAAAAAACGGACGCCTTTTCAAGTAATTGAAACTATTTTAAAAATAAAATATTTACAAACAATTTCAAAGAAATAAGGGAACAAAGGTATTTAACGAAATATCTTCTAAAATGTCGAGACGTCACAGAATGAAGACAAAGGTTCTCCACGAAGACCATTGTTTAGTTGGAAAGAGAAGATGAAAGAGGGCTTACGACTTTCAGAAATACTCAGCGCCATTGTCAGGAAATAACTGATGTTGGTATGGCACATTAGTAAAACAGAAACGAAGAAACTGAATAAATAAATAAATGTATATATAAAGAAAATATGAAAACTGAATTTAAAGCAACCATGTAAGGTAGGAACCTCAATGAACACAATTTGAGATGTGAAGGTAATGGAAGTTTATTACGCATTGCCTTTACAGAGAAGACAAAAACGTAGCTGTGAAATTTAATTGTACAGTGAGAAGTAATGACAGAATAATTGTATAGTACATTGTCGTTCGTATAATGATTGTATAATTCGTGTAGTACATAATAAAAGGGGAAAATGTAATGAAATCCTAATCTGAAGAATTACTATATTAGTACCGATATTAATAAGAGACTTAACACATACATGTTACATACTACAATACTTTTGCAGTACCATAAGTTTGTAAACAAAGTCAGCATTATTAAAATTTATTCAACTCTCCATTGTCAATAGTTTATACTCGTGTTTTCGAAGAGTAATCTAATACACCTTAAGGCTTGGAATACTTAATTCATTTCTCAAGCAGTGCGTTTCGAGCCGCCGAGGCGAAACGCTTCGTCGCCTGAGGTGGCTTCTGCCATTATCGCTCTCTGACAAGTGGTCATGCAGCGCATAGTGCATTCAGCGATAACACTCAGTGCCAGTGTCGTTCGTGTGAGCGGGGTCCGCGAACAGTGCCACGTTTAAAGTGTTTTTAGTTGTAGTAAAGCCAACATAATTTTTTTTAAACACGTGAATGGCCCAACAATAGTGCTCCGTTACGGGGCAACTAATTTCGAAGCGCAAGATGGACGCTACCTATAGTGAAAATGGTTGGTGAAAACGCG